GTAGAATGAGAATACCTGAAAGGTATAACTAAGATTAAATAGATTTGAATAATTATTTGATAATATTATCGTATTAATGGTACTTCACTTCCTTCTCGTTACCCAACATTTTTATTTTTTTATGACCATTGTATAATCCGCAGTAGTATCTATCTATTCACGACGGAATTACCTCAACTGGCACCTGCTATTTGGGCTCATATTGAACCCACAGGCAGATTTTAGTGAGAATAACAAAAGCTTAAAGGGATTCGTTCCCATTTGTTTTTGGTGTCGAGTTATGACTGGTTTATTGAATTTTGAACCTATTTTTAGGTACACTCCGAAAGATTGAATAATGGAGTTTTGATCCAAAGTTTTGCTTGCAGATATGTCTAATAACTCTTGGAATATCCTAAAAGTTTCAGCCGAAAAAAAGAATGTTCTTTCGTTGAGTTATTGAATTTTCAAGTGAACTCAATTTTTATAACGAAGGATTATTTTTGGAAATTCAATATCTTGACGAAGGAATATTTTTTCGACTATAATTTTCAAGGTATGCTAAGAGCCATCAGGCCTATCTACAGACAAAACTTTAAATCAAAATTCTGCCATTTAGTTTTTTTGTGAACTACTTACAAATGAATCGAAAATCTACTAAACCCATTATAACTCAGTTCTTCTATTATGGCCAATCTATTTTCATAACTGCTGATTAAAAAGATTTTACAGAAAACCAAGGTGATTATACAGATTTAACAAGTGATTCTTAGCATTTTAGAAATTCACAGTCTTTTCAGATTTTCAGCTTGAAACCCTAAAAACTAGGTGTAACGTAAATATTCCAATTAAAGTTCTAAGTTTTCCAAGAAACTAATCAATTAAGATAGGCGATCTTCTATTGCAAAGAGGAGTTTACTTTGAAAAGGATTAATCTCATTCTATCGTTCTACAATATACTTTAAATGAAAATGAAATATACTATTTATTTTTTGTTTTCAGAACTGCTGTTGTATGTCCAATTATCGATGTGATCAATGATGATGATTTTGCTTATTTAACTGGTAGTGATATGACTTGGGTATATTTATCTGTATATATTTATTCAATATAAATATTATTTTTGTAAAATTAGGGTGGATTTAATTGGCGATTAAATTTTCGTTGGTATGCAGTACCAAATCGAGAAGAAATTCGTCGAGATTATGATCATTCATTACCTCTTTTGTAATATGGAAAAAGTTTTATTTTTAATTTATTGAATAACTTTTTTTCTTATAATTATCATAGATCACCAACAATGGCTGGTGGTTTATTTACAATAAATCGTGAATATTTTTATGAAATTGGTGCTTATGATCCTGGTATGGAAGTATGGGGTGGTGAAAATTTAGAAATGTCATTTCGTGTTTGGCAATGTGGTGGAAAAGTTCTTATTCATCCTTGTAAGAAAATTGATAAAAAAAAAAGAATCTATATTTTAATAATAAAATGATTATAATAGGTAGTCATGTTGGCCATGTATTTCGTAAACAAACTCCATATACATTTCCAGGTGGTACTGGAAAAGTTATTTTTCATAATAATAAACGTCTTGTTGAAGTATGGCTTGATAAATATAAGGATTTTATTTATTCAATGATGCCTGGTTTGTATTTTATATTATAACAACAACAAAAAAAAAATAATGAGATCTTTTATGAATCAATTTATTAATAGAATTAAAAAATGTTGATGCTGGTGATGTATCAGAACGTCTTGCACTTCGTGAACGTCTTAAATGTAAAGATTTTCGTTGGTATTTACAAAATATTTATCCTGAAAGTTCAATGCCTGTTGATTTTCATCATGTTGGAGTTGTAAGTTTGTTGTTTTTGAATTTTTAAATACTTTTTCTAATTAAATTTAATTGAAATTATTTTGATATATATTTATTTTCTTTGTTCTTCTCATATAAATAGTTAAAAAGTGAAGCTTACGGTTGTGCCGATTCACTCGGACTCGACAGTGAGAGTGGACTCAATCACGATGCAGGCATTTTTCCTTGTCACAATCAAGGTGGTAATCAGGTGTGTATATTAATATATTTTCTTTTTTTTTCTATCCTATTTCAGATACATCTCGAACCATGATCTTGCTTGACTCTTCATCATGTGTACGGCAGTCAGAGTGCGAATATTAAGGCTATGTTAAATATACAAACTTGTATAAATTGAACGTATTCGCTCAAGACTGTTAGCTACTAAGTGAAGAATAAATAAGGATAATGTATGTTTGAAAAAAAAAATCGATGTAGCGATAATTGCATGATAATGATTTTCGATATTTTATTATATTTAATTGGATACGAAGATATATTTCATTTGCTTTTTTTTGACTACATGATTAAGAGTCAAACAAGATGATGGCTGTTTAAACAAAATAATCGATATACAAGAGAAAGAATATGTTCAAATATATTTGAATTTTAATAGGAATAAAATCGAATAGTATCAACTTTGAGAAACTAATTGAGAATGAAGAATTACTCAAAAATGTTTATTCAATGGCTAGATTTACAGCTAATGAAGGTTTCTTATTCGATTCAATATCAGTCCAGCTTTGCTTTTGAGTTTTATTATTTTGCGAAATTCGATATCTTATAACATGACATATACAATGAAAATTGGGTAAAATTATTGTCTTCGAATAGAATTGTTTGTCAATAACAGATCACAGACATACAAGATCAAAGAATACAGGAATTCCGGTCTCTCTTTTTTTCATGAATAGTGTATACAACATGCATTTTTTGAAAGCTCCATATCTCGAAGAGACTTTGTTAAAAATTTCTGAATTTTTTTATCGAAGCTAGTCTAGTTGACTTATCTATATGCATCAATTTTCAGATCAAAATTTGAAAATACGAGTTTTCCGAAAATCTAAAGTCTCTAGAAAATAGACATAGTAAAAATTCGATAGATTTGTCAAATACTCAAATTCTTTTAGGATTTTTAATAGAACACGATGTAGTATCTATAGGTAAAAAATCCATTGATATCTGAAGGATAGCTGAAGAGATTTCCTCGTTAGTTGTAGGTTTTTTTTTTAAACTTGATATATCTTCCCCAGACATTCGATATATGTTACACGTTTCATTTACTATATCTGCGAGACAAAATTTTATTCATATATAAATTAATTAATTTTATATAGGTTATGGTTTATTCGAAAAAAGGTGAACTACGTTTTGATGATCTATGTATGGAAGGAAGTAAAAATAGTGTTGTGAAACTACAGAAATGTATCGATGGAAATCAAAAACAAACATGGCATTATAATAATGAAGTACATATATTTTTATTTTTTCATTTTAAATTAGAGAAAATTTCTCTTTTTAGACAAAACAAATGAAACATGTTTATTCTGGTCAATGTATGACTCTAGAGCAAAATAAAGATAATGGTAAACTTATACTTAGTAAGTGAAAAGTACAAAGAATAAATTAATAAGATAGCATGAAATAATTTTAGATTCATGTGACGAACAATATAATAAAAATCAACGGTGGCATCTAGAAAACTCATTATTAACTTAGTTTCAATTTTAATTTCTTTTTTTTCGGGTTGAGAATGATACGCATTTTTTATTTTTAATCAAATTATACCTTTACTCATTTGTTTAGAGAATCTATTTATTCATATATACTTGCCTCTTTATCATAATAACACATTCCAAAATTGTTTCGAATAGGATTCTTTAAACAAAAAAAAAAACACAAAAAGAAAGATCATATATGAACTAGATTTTCTGGTTGAATTGTTCTATTATTTGTTATAAAATATCTTTTGACATTGCAATAAATACATCGAACGAAGAGAAAAATGAAAATAAACAAATTTATTAATTTTTTTTTTCTTATCATATGATAATGCTTCTTTTGTTATTGTTTTTCTTTTTCTGTTTGTTAGGTTCTTCTTTTTTTTTTGTTTTTCTTTCCATGTGTTTATCCTTGTTGGCTATCAAGTGTTCTTCTTTTTTATTTAATATGCTCTCGTTTTCCTTCTGTTTTTCTTTCTTATAATGATTTTCGCCAAATATATATTTATTGCAAAAGAAATGATATAGACATTATCGAAACTAGTGATCATTCGCATAAAACTGTAGAATTAATTATATTATATGGAAAATGATTTTTGAATGAGTAGTGTCATTAATTCAAGAAATAGAAAATACGCGACGATGTGGAAAATACTGCAGATGAGAGTTTAGAGAAGCTAGATGGAATTGGTTGCTGAAATTGTATATTTGAAAATGCATATCTTCTCAATGAATGTTCACTTAAAACAAACTATGTCTTAATCTTAGCATAAAATCAATCAGAGGAATAAGTCGTGAATCTCTTTTCTCAAGAAGATACGGTCGGTACTAGGACCATTCGTCGCAATGAAAAGGGCAAAGAATATATACAACTAAACTTTTCTCTTCAATTGCGACGAACTGTTCGCGACAAATTATCCGGTCACCGATACGATCATCATCATCATTGTCATAATCAAGAATACAATTTGAAATCCTATACGTCTGATCAATTTTCTCAAGCACTTGATGATCGTATATAACATACAATTTAAATTATTACACCAAACCATCAGTGACACCAACAGACTGCGAAGCTATATTAGTTATTCAAAAAAAGATACGTGATGTTAAATTAATGATTGCCTATCGTCTCCATCATGAACGAGAAAGAAAGATTTAATATTATCGATCATGTTCAAAACGAAAATTTCGACGATCCTTGTATCATCTTATTAGGTTGTGCTTAATATTTGAAACCTAAATCGTGAAAACTTATTTTTACAATGGATGTCTATACTTTGGACATGTATTAGTTTCCCTGTCGGTGACTATGATCCATTATGTTATCAATAAGATAGTTTCTCTATACTCGCGCGTATATTTTTGCCAATCAAAATCGAAAAAACAATATTCTTTTCTCTTTGTTACATCTATGTTTTTTCAAACAAGACGACCGTCAATTACATTTTCTTTTTTACAATGTTAATACTCTTTCTTACATCTTGAAGATTAGGATGATCAGAAGGTAGTGATCGTTGTAGAATATCAAGAGCATGTTCATAAGATGAAAGTGCTTTCGAGTAATCACCAATGTTTCTATAAACCCAGCCGATATTGTTGTAAGCAGTAGCTAAATCAAGATGATCTGAAGGAACCGTTTTTTGGTAGATTTCCAGTGCTTTTTCATGAAATGAAAGTGCATTCGAATAGTCACCCATGTTGTCATAGACCAAACCAATATTACTGTAAGAAGCAGCTAAATCAGGATGATTTGAAGGAAGATTTTTTTGGTCGATTTCGAGTGCCTTTTGATGAAATGAAAGTGCATTCGAATAGTCACCCATCTTATCATACACCAAACCAATATTACTATAAGTAGCAGCTAATCGAACGTCCGTTGGAAGGAGAATTTTCTGAAGGATTGTGCTTGATTGTTGATAATAGGCAATGGCATCTTGATATTGACCTTGACCCTCCTTGACCAATCCGAGCTGGTTATAAATATCTGCTTTTTCACGATCTGTTGTCGTTTGATCAAGCAAGATATCATATACATCTTCGGCTTTGTTGAACTCTTCCTGTTTAATTAGTAACATACCCAAACGATCCCATCCGTTCGAATTTGGATTAGTATCCTTGTGCATCTGTTCAGTCAATGCATGCAGTTCCGGATCGTTTTCAGTGACTAGTATAAGATCTACTTGCCAAAGACGATCGTTGTCCATTTGTTGGATTTTACCAATACGAAATATGGAAGGTATAGAAAAGAGAATTTCCTCTTCTTCAAAATAACTAACGTCACGTACATTAGCAAATGGCGTAGACACAATGGACGGATCAATTTTTATGACAAACAAGATACCAACGAGATCAGATGTTTTAATAGTTTGATTAATAAAATTGAATGATATTTCACGGTCCTTACTAGTTAATAAGAAACTACTAAATGATAAAAGTCCATCTTTGGTCTTGTTCAATTGATCAAAGTTTGTCTGTGATAAACCTTGACCATAATAGACAATCAATGATTTCAAACGTGCATATTCAATATATTGTTCCTGATGAAGTTTGGTGATATGATCGTGCAGATCTCGGATAAAAAATCCCATGCTAATGATAAGATCGATCTCCATCATCCGTAATGATCGATTGAGTATCGAATAAAGAAAACTTTGATGAGTATACCACCAAATCGGCGAATGACGATGATATTCGTGTGCCAGTTTGTCGACAGCTTCAAGTACTTTTGAGTTATCGGCGAAAACGTCGCGACAATACGTAATAAAATCATTAAAATGTTGCTGTTCGAAATTGATAGTTAATAAAATTTCTTTTATTATTTGTGTGTACATAAACAATGAATCCGATTGATTTAGACTTTGTCTCGTAACTCCATGACCGGTGGTGATAAAACTAATTGAAATCAAGTTTCGATTACATTCCAATACTGCCTGCTCAAGAGCTTTACAGATAGGTACAATATCTGTAAAAACACCTTTTATTTTTGACCAATGTCTAGCCCATTGTTCGTGCCGAGCTTGATTTCCACAAAAAATATAAATAGTTCTGACTTGAGGCAGGTCATGCACGATAGGAACTGTAGTTTGTCCCAATGAACCAGAAGCGATCATAAATATTTGTTCGTCTTTGATATTTCTAACAAAATGGACACACTCATCGACGTCCGTAAATGGATTGATCATGTTAACTATTTTTTTTAATTTTGACATCGTCATCTTACTCTCATCGTCATTCTCTAGATCAATATTGTTGTCGAGCCAGACTAGCAAAAAATTTTGAATCATGTGTAGATGAGATCGTCGTCGTGGCCGTTTGCTGGTATGTTGAATTGAAGTAGCAGCACCAGCGACAGTATCTGATGATTTTGTTGTCAACGTTCTTCTTTTGTTATCCATAATATAATTTAATTGAATTAACGAAATCAACACTGAAGAGAAAATGAAAAAAAGACATGTGTATATATAGACCAGCGAAGTTTCTTAGCAACGAATCAACAAATGAAAAAAAATGTATTGACATAGTGTTATTGTTAATCGTTGTCGATAAACAAACCTTGTGCGAGAAAAAAAAATTGTCATGCATTCTCTGTTCTTTTTTTCTTTCTCAACTTTTTCCCGAGTTTCTCTCTCTGATTTCATCTATTACCTTGCTGCATATAAATGAAAAAGTCACATTTGATACTTCACTTTACATGCATCGAAAAGAAGAAAAAGTGTCCATCGTAACGAACAACAGCTAGTCAAACATTCGTATAGACTTTTATTTTTATAACAGATAACGTAAAAAGACCTTCTGGCTATCATATTATAAAGCAACGTTATTTAGAGACAAAAAAAGACATTTCTCTCTTTTCATACGAAATTTATGATAAATATCCATATAGGTGTTTTGATGTTATTCAAGAATTCATTTGGAGAACAAAAACAAACGGAAAATGATAAAGAAGTTATCGTTATAGCTTTCGACTAATTCTTATCAGTATAAGTGTGTTTTGTCAATGTCATACGTCGCTTTCAATAAAATTTAATATGCATTCGCTTTTTCTCTTTCATTTTGTTGTTCTGCATAGTTCAATATAATCGCAGATGTCTACTTTAACTCTAAAAACTCGAGGTATCAACAGTAAGCCCGCGATGTACTGCTGTACGGCGAGCTTTTACACATTGATCTGCTGCAAATTTTCGATTCTAGAAATCAGAAAGTATGCGAAGTCTCCTAGTCTCCATCTAGCAAAAGCCATACCTAGTTGCAAATGTTCTGCGTCGTATCCTCCAGCGCTATCAATCAGTATCTAGTCTACTGATTTTATTCTAGTTACACCTACACACAATTAATTGCTTAAAAAAGAGTAATACAAAGAATCTATAAATTTCGAGTCCCAGCGAAATATCCTTGGGAAAATATTTTAGACGAACAATGGCAAATTTGTAGCAAAAGATTTCTGTATTACTATTTGAGCATATAAATGTGATTAGACGTTGCAGATTCAAATTGTTGGATTGGTCATGTATCTAATGTCAATCAATGCAATTATCCTAATCTTTTCTTGAATGCTTGAAGACATTGCTCATTTGACAAATATTTCCCATATCTCCTAAAATTCGATATTCAATGCATATTTGAAGCATTCTTTAATTATTATTTATAAGAGACTAGAACTCGCGCATTGAAAACATAAAAAATAATTGATTGAGATTGAGATTTTGCCATGATGAATAAAAACATGACATTTTGGATGATCAAATAGACATAGACATTGACATTGATGTATTCCAATTTTATTGATTAAATCGAGTATTTTAATTAAACATATGCAATTAACTTGAATTTTAGTCAAAGTCATGGTAATATATTATTGAAAATGTCTGTTTCCTAATGTGAAGTCTCATTTTTTTTTCTATTTTCAATGTAAAATCATGAAGGTTACGGAGTTTTTGTTTACATTACTACTTAGGGCATACCAAAAAATTCTGGTCACGACATTTTAAATTTTATAAAACACCTCGTATCGAAGGTTTTATTGCATGAATACATAGTAAAATGCCTCATCTATAATAATGCATATAACAACTCTATTTTGAATTTAATTCTAACACTCTTTTAGATAGAGTCTATAATATAATGACAACACAAATATTTAATTATCTCTTGTCTAATGTTTGAGTATATTCTGGAATCTTTCTACATTTTTCATTTCTCTCTTATGTGACATTTTCTGACGTCACGGATGTGGAACGTAGGTGTAGGTGTAAAGAAACGGAAGACATAACTCACACCCACCCACATCTTGACAACGAACGATTTCTCACTCTATATTCTAGAGCATGACGTCAGAAAATGTCACATAAGAGAAAAATGAAAAATGTGGAAAGTTCCAGAATATACTCAAACATTAGATAAAGGATAATAAAATATTTATGTAATCATTATATTATAGAATTATATCTAGCAATGTTATAATTTGATTTGTAAAAGTTATTTTATTTTTCATAAAATAATTTAGATCAATTTTATATTGTAATATTAATATTTGAGAGGAATTTTTTGTCAATAGCGTGCACGTACAGGTTGCTTCATAAGTTTTGGAGCTTGACACAAATTAGTTTACATGCAAAAAGAAAAAAAAACTTGAATCGAATATGTTTATATGAAGTTTGAGTACTCCTATTGATCTTTCAAATGGCATATTATGGGATGACACCTTCTCTTGTAATAATAGAAATATAAATATGAGAATATTATGATAAATTTTTCGAAATCATAAATAAGAAATTTTATTAAAAAAAACACTCTAGTTTACAAATACACATATTAATCTGATTACACAAAAATGTGATTTAACTATCACATATTTGTTCTCTACTACTTTTTATTCACTTCGCCAAGTCTTTTAGGAATTGTATCAATCATTCTTTTACAATCGTTACAAGTTATTTTTTTTTCTATTCTTTGTTCAATCTAGTTTGTAGGTGTTAAAGTGTAAAAATTGTTCACTCCGTACATTTTCAATGGGCCATACCTTAGCAGATTTAGCATCATCATCATCTTGAAATAAAATATGAACATTAAATAATTCATCAATTGTTCATAATACAATCTTTGTTCTTTGTTTTTTGTTCTATCTGTGATGTGTTCATATATTTTCGTTCATTTCAAACCGATTATTTAGCATATATCTTGACTAAACATGTCATCAGCAATTCATGATAAGTATTAGATAAACGGCTAAGATGACTACTTATTGGCTGCTACTATGCCGTTTTTTTATGTAAAATATATTCAGCACTTCATTATAGGACTTTTAAAAAAATACTCAAACTTCAAATAGATACATTCAGTTCGAGATTATTTTCTATTTGCATATAAACTAATTTTCATTAAGCTTCAAGATTTATAAAATACCCTGTAATTTTTATCCATTCTAAATGATATTTGAATGTCATTCTACATTTTCAATAATTCTTGACATGACTAAAATGATATGAATAAAACTCGACCTTTTGTTACAATTGTAAGATCTCATAGTTTTTATTATTCAAAAATTTTACATAATTCAACCGGGCAGAAGTTTAACAAAATGAGAAACATTTTTTTAAAACTTTAATCTGGAAAAATGCATGGTGAAATATATTAAACTTAAAATGCATATTTTTTCAGATATTTATGCATTATCATTTCTGACTTGTAATACTAGTTATATTAAAAAAATTAAGCGCTAGTGAACAGTTTCATCAATGTGATTTGTTTTTGTCTAATAGAAACCAAGATTTATTGCTTTGCATTTGTATGCTTAAGTTCGAGTGCTGAAAAAAACCATATGATAACGACTGTGGATTGACTTTGTTGAATATTACTTATACAAAATAAACATTTTTTCTCATTTAGAAAGGTTAGGCAGTTCTCCATTGAGGGGAGCCTCTTAGAAAATTGAATTTTTCAAGGAAATATCGAAGTTAAGTTTTTATCATTGGAAGATGAAGCAAACCTTCCTCTTTCGGAATGTATAACTTTTTGGAAAATGAACAGATTTTCAAAGATTTATCACATAAAACTTTGAGTCTACTACCATATTTTCGGAGAAATCTTCGTAGATTTTTAAAGTTTTTCAATTTCAGAAGAGCTTTCCGTTACCATTGAATAGAACATTTTAATATTAATCAGCATGTCAGATGGCGTTAGCTTACTACATGTGATACGTGCTTTTAAAAAGTCCAAGGAAATATATTGGAAATATGCTATTTTAATATGATTTTTTTGGATTCAAAATGAAAAAAATCTATTTCTAAAGCTTCTTTAGCGTTTTTCTCAGAACATAGTTTCCAATCAGAAAAATCGAAGCTCTTCCCTTATTTCTCTAGCTATAACCAATGTTTTTTTTGTTATAAAGGTCATAGTGAGAGTAAACTTCTGTTCGAACGGATTTTTTTATAGTTGGTTTCTGGGCTGAGAAAAGTGAGATTTACTGTCGTTGGGCCACCATTTTTTATGTTAATTTTAAGACCCTTCTACTAAAATACTCATAAGCCCGAGCTCTCTGTCTCATCATACGACGAAGTTATATCGATTCTTCTGAAGGCCAAAAATGACCTATGAATCAACTGAAAATTTGGTTTAGTACGATCAATCGAGCTGAAAATTTTATCAGAAGCATATCTCTCTAGGATCATTCATCCCTGAATTTGCTAAAAAACTCCGATAATATCTATCAAAGAAATTCCTCATATACTTGCAGGTAATTATCTTTTATTGTCATCACAACGTAGAATAGCATATCGTCGCAGAAAGTCTGAATCATTGACACGTACTAGGCTACAATAGTAGAAAAAAATAATACATACAATTCACAGTGTAACAAATTCTTTGTCACATGTTGAGATAGTTATGGTTTCTAGTATGGTTTTTTCAAATGTATCTAGCGTATTCTAAAACCAGCTACCATATTTCTTTTGTCCTCTGTAACCCTCATCGTTCTTTCTTCGATTCAACTTAATGTAAATGTATGACTGTGGACAGAAAAAGAAAAAGAAAAACAAGCTGATAAAAGAATTCGCCCTCATTCAACCTCTTTAGATAAATACCACTGGTTTTTTAAAATATCTACTTACATTTCTAGATTTAAAAAAAATGGATACTGTAAAAGACACTATTAACACACTTCTTGGTCGAAAACCTTCTGGACCTAAAGTTCGGTATGGTGTTGTAGGTGCTGGATGGATCAGTCAAAGTTCATTTATGCCAGGTGTTGGACAAACATCTAATTCAGGTAATATATATCTTCATGTTTGATCTGTATGAAACGATAAAACTTGAATTTTTATTTTGTTCATTCTAGTATTAACTGTATTGGTTAGTGATGATGCAGAAAAACGTGAAAAACTAGGCAAACAATATAATTTGAAATCATATACATATGATCAATTTCCGCAAGTACTTGAAGATTGTCAATGTGATGCGTTTTATATTGCTACACCAAACAATCAACATCGACGATTTGCTGTTCCAGCTCTTGAAAAAGGTTCCTATAAAGCTTTCTTTTTTTTTGAATATCATTTTTATTTATCGAATTAATTATTTGTTTTAGGTTATCATGTATTACTTGAAAAACCAATGGAAGTTACAGAAGAAGATTGTGAAGCTATATTAGCTGCTCAAAAAAAAAGTGGTGCTAAATTAATGATTGCTTATCGTCTTCATCATGAACCAGGAACACTTGATATTATTGAACGTGTTCGAAAAGGAGATATTGGTGATCCTCGTATATTTTCATCAGTTTTTACTCACAATTTGAAACCTGAAAATCATCGTGCTAAACAAGGTAAACATAAGAACATTTTATCGAACAGCTGACAATTAGAATAAATGTTTTTCAATAGAAACACAATTAAATGTAGATCATATCTATATTGTTTGTTTTGATATTTAGGTTTTGATGCTGGTCCTATTCCAGACATGGGTGTATATCCAATTAATGCTGTTCGAAATATTTTTGGTTTAGAACCTATTGAAGTAACTGCTATTGGATTCAAAACTCCAGGACATGAATTTTTGCAAATGGAACATGATACAATTAGTGTAACACTTCGATTTCCTGGTGATCGTATGGCTCAATTTGTTGCTGGTTATGCCGGAGCCGCTGGTGAAAGTTACAAAATTGTTGGTACCAAAGGTATAACATTTTAATATAGATTAATTTATTTTCTTAAATTATTATTCTTTGTAATATTTGTTTGTAGAAAAACTTTAATTAGGAATATAATTTTCGTGTTAAAATTATTTAGTTTAAGAAATAAAAAAAAATAATCAAACAAAATTTTTATTGTTTCTTTAGGTGATATCGACGTAAATCCTGCTTATACATGGGCTAATAATGGTATAAACATTGCTTATAAAATAAAAATTAATGGCAAAGAAGATTCAAAAAGTTTTCCAGAAACAGATCATTTTGGTGGTGAAACAGAATATTTATCTGAATGTATTTTAAATAATTGTGATCCAGAATCTGATGGTGAAGAAGGTTTACTTGATGTACGAGTAGTTATTGCAATAAAAAAATCACTTGAAGGAAATGGAAAAACAATTAAACTTGAACCATACGATCGCAAAAAACGACCTACATTAGATCTAGCTAAAAAGTTACCGTTAGCCAAAACACCAACAACTTTTATTGGTCGAGATTCACAACAACCGTCTGCAGATTAAATTATAATTTACATTAATGGAATTTATAAACTATATTGAATTTATTTTACAAGTTTCTAAAACTACTAGTCTAATAAACAAGCAGTAGTGAATCATTTTACGTATTTAATTTTGATTTGTATTTTATGGCTTAGTATAAGTTTTATTTTACGTTCAGTAGTTTTTACTCAATAAAAAACTTAATTTGAGCATAGTAAATAATAATTTGAAATGCTCAGTAATTAATTCAAAAAGACTCAATAATTAATTTGACAAGATTATGTATTTAATTAATTTTTATTCAGTTTTTTTTTTATTAATTTATATTAGTAAAAATAGTATAATTGACAAGAAAATAATTAAACAAAGAGTTTATTGTATCAGTAATGCTTTCTTAGATTTTGTTGGTCTATCACGGCGTATTATTTCACTAATTTTAACATCTATTATCAGCAGGTAATGATTTGCAGAAATTTAACCTAATAGTCATATTGATGACATGTTTACACATAAATTTTTTCGAAAATTTTTATCATTCATATAACATCATGACTTACTGTTAAATATTCAATCGGTTATTGATGCAAGCAAAATAGAAGAATGATTATCTACGGTTTAAAGAGTTTATTTGGTCAACTATGTTAACATCTTTAGTCAATAGAATTTAGTATAATATATATATATATATACGTATACAGTCTAAGGTAAATGTGTAGTAAATATAGAGCGAGCAAATAAGAATAAAATAAAATTTAAAATAATTGTATTTTATTCTTATTGGCTCGTTATATATTTACTAAACATTTATTTTCGGCTGTATATTATACTAAATCTATTGACTAAGGATGTCTATTAAGATTTTGTCCAAAAAATGTGAATACATCACATATTATCTGTTTCTCCATTTAACTAAAGCACATCCATTATTGGTTTTTTCTGCTACGTTCTCGTATATTATATATTAATTATTTCTTTTCGTTTTTTGGTATATTTTCGTGCTGTGATATATTTCTTGATATTATTACACATATTCTCTTGTTTTTGTTGTTCTCTTCTTCTATCTTTGGTGGTTATTGCCATTGAATAAACTGACCTTACCTTCACAAAATTTACAATATCAATCTAATTGGCATGGAACCATTCTTCTATTCTTCTATCAAAAAATAAAAATAATTCAATTATTGATAAAAGTAGTATTCATTTAATAAGCAAACTGAATTAGTTACTGATAATTTGATTTTAATATTAAACAAATTATTAATTTACTAAGCAAATATAATAGTTACCAAATATTAAATTTTATACTGGTAATTTGTTTATAATACTGAACATTTAATTTATTCTCTCTATTTTATAAGATTTGCTAAAATTTTCTTTTATCAAATGTAATTAGACATGAATTTTAATATGGACAGAATAGTTAATATGAGAATACTAAGATTCTTAAGATCTATCTATTTTAATTTAATTTGTTATATGTCAATATGATATGAAATCAAATATTAATTGATACTCATATCTTATTTAAAAAAGGGCGAGTATAGAAACATAAAATTTTGTAAAAATGTATCACTTACTAATAATCTAAGACAGCTTCACTTAGATCATAAGATAATCGCTAAAACAATATTTATCTTCAGTAGAAATATTTTAAAATAAGATTTTTGAATACAATGAGAATATTCGTTTTCAATATAAAAATTTACCACGTAGTTCTCTTTTCCTCATACGACTTAATTTATTCAAACGTATCATGTATAATTTAGATTGTATGTTCACATCTTTCTTACTCATTCAAAACTTCTACGTTAGTTATATTGTAATGTGTGCACAGGTACTTTGAAGTATTCAATTGAATGACATTGTCGTCAATGGCATGTGTGCATGATATAGTGCATTAAATAGAAAGGAAGAAGAAAAAAAAAATTCTTAACAAGCAATAACGGGAATACTGAAAAAAAAACACTCTTCTTGTTGACTCACACTTTCTCTTGTTCTCGTTTGTAAAGATTCTCATTTGTAAAAACACAGGCAATGATTGTAAAAGAAAAAATAAACTCATTATGTTATTTATATATTTATATTAGATCATGCATAAAATGAATTCTTTTTAGAATGTGTACCGATCTCATAGTACATGATAATGTTACGACACCGAGTGATTCAGATCCAGGGTCAGTATCTCAATCAACTGTAAATCAAAATTGTTATCAATCATGTATTAATTCTGCATGTTTTAAATATACAAAAATAATTTTAATTATAATATATTCACTTAATATTATTGCATGGGGTGGAATGTTATTTCTCATATTAGTAGGTGCAGCAAACAAGACAATGTCTGATGAATATACACGCAAAATTTGGATTGAAATTGATTCACAAATTCTTAATGGACTCTTTTGTGTAACGGGTCTTGGTCTTATTCCTTGGCGAGTACGTGATCTCTATCAACTTTATAGTAAAAAACATCAACAAAACCTTCGTCGACGTCATTCATATACAACTAATATTTATTGGATTGGAATCGTTGTTTGGACTTTTATAGCAAATTCTTTATTTCAAATTGGTATGGCTGTATGTATGTGGTCAATGGATATGAATACAAGACCTGCATGGTTAGTAGGGTTGTTTGTTGGACTTGGATGTTGTTCAGGAGCATTTGCAGGTTTAATCAAATTTATATTAGGAAGACACACGAAAAGAAAAACAAAAATTGAACATGACCGTACTAATATTTTACAGATTTGATTTTGTTTTATATATATATATATATATATACATTATTTATGAATAGCAAAATTAGATTATTAAAATGACGTTTCAAACGTTGAATTATTATTTATAAATTTAGAATGATTCAATATTTTTAAAAAGTTTTAACTTTTCAAAATAAATTATAAAAAATTATTTAACTTATAAATAAACCTAAATTAGATTTATGGATGTTCAAACAATACAACAATCGTGCTGTTATTATGAAAAATATTGGTAGTTTCTACAATCGCTCTCTCTCTTTCTATGTATATATTTTATTTTCAACCGTCTTTTTGATATGAGAAATAAAAGATCCATTTGATGATATAAACATAAGTATATATTTTATACAGTATTGAAAAAGATTTGCGACGTAAAAGAATATACACAGGTATGCTATATAATGTGAAAATCTACCGTATTCATAACTTCTAATTTTGCTGATTGTAATGATATTGGCAACAGAACGTGAAGAAATTATTTTGATCATTATAAATAGTGCGAACATATTTGATGTATAATTAAAAAGGTTCTTTGCTTTCAGTATTTTCATTTATACCTCATTATTATTATATTAGAATCTATAATGCGAAGTCTAAAACAATAATAAAAACAGTATCCACCTACACTATGCTTTTTTGCCGAAGTTTTTTTCTTTTCATTATATAATAATCATTTTTCACGATTACTTTTTCTTTTTGCTTGTATACACTTGACTTCGACACATTGATCTTCATTCGGAATAAAAATCGATCAACTCATTTGATTGTTGTCAATCAAATGATGTCTTTATTCTCGATGTTAATCGTTCTAGTTCACATATTCTTACATGTTTCGGAAGCATCTCAATGTTCGAAATTAAATTTAACACCATTGAATACAAATAGTGATGATAATTATTCAATTCTAACCGAAAGATTTCAATCATCGAATATAATAAAAGTATCATTAATAGTTCAACAACCTGTTAGTAGTACATCATGGTTTCTTATGGGTGCAAGTGATTATTCAGCATTAATTGGTTCATGGCAACCAATTACTTCAGCTGATGGTGAAGTAATAGAGTGTTCTGTATTTTCAGAACAAGCAGTAACTAATCAAAAATCATCACTTGAAAATCCAAGTCGATCAGAATTTACATTTTATTGGATGGCTCCTCCTTCATTTAGTAGCATTGTTATTTTTGTAGCGACTATTTTTGATAATAGTACAACAAATGATAACGATTCTTTACGATATATTCAAAGTACACCTATAGAAATTAAACAAACACAAGGACCAGATCGATATCGAGACGTAGATAGAAGTAAATTATTTCATTTCAATTATTTATTTATTAAAAACTTCTTTTTCTTTTTTAATAATTTTTCAAGCTTTTTGTACCTCATCACCATGCCTTAACGGTGGTAGTTGTAGTTATGATGACCAATATTCATATTGTCAATGTGTTGCGCCATGGAATGGTGTATTTTGTAATCTTCGTAAGTAAAAAGTTGTTGTCTATGTATTTTTTATTTGTTTTTTTCTCATAGAATATTTTCATTTAATGTTTGAAAGTACTCTACCATTTAATAGTGATTTTTATTTTAATACACTTAATTCTCCATCTTATACGCGTTTATCTACTGATCTATTTGCTTGGTTAAATAATGCATTTAATACACTTCCATCCAACAGAATGTATTCAATTAATTTTGTGGCGTAAGTTTATCTTATTCTCATAATAAAAAAATCATCAAAATATTTTTTTTAAGTCCAAGTCCATCTGGTACATATATTTCAGTTAGTATGGCTGTAACACCAACAGGTGTATCATACACATCTGTTATTCTATCAGCACTTGTAACAGCATTAGCTCGGAATAATACAACTCCATTAGGCTATCAATTATCAATTGATCCAGCATCTATAACAGAGCCAGTGACACAAGATTCAACACCTTATACTTGTAAATAAAAAAAAGAAAGAAATTTAAGTCTTTAAGAATGATTTTATGGTTTATTTCTTTTTCTTTTTTAGCTTGTGTATTTCCATTTACACTTGCTTTAGTTGATTATAATTTTTGTGTACCACTTGCTCCGAATTTTGTATGTTCAAGATCTCGTGTTATTGATAGAAATACAACACTTAACAGCCTTGATTGTTCACGAGATAGTTAGTTTTAATTCTTTTTTTTGTTAAAAAACAAATTAATGATTAATTTTGGTTTTTCATTTAAGTTTTTGAATATGTTTCAAAAGATCCTTGTTTTCCAAATATATGTC